TTTCTTTTCTTTTCTTTTCTTTTCTTTTCTTTTCTTTTCTTTTCTTTTCTTTTCTTTTCTTTTCTTTTCTTTTCTTTTCTTTTCTTTTCTTCTTTTCATAATCAGGTTGGGTTTTTTTCCAATTTCACCCCCTGGTATCCAGTTCTCTCTTTGGCAGAAAAGAAGAAAAGGGAGTTATTGAAGCCCTTTCCCCTTAGAGGAAATCCTCATTCCAGGGCATTTTCTCCCAAAATTTGTCTTGAAACAAACAGTAGCTGCTTTGAGGCCAAAAACTGAGACAGTTTTCCACTCTTTATGTCTAGTGTTGACCAAGGAATGTCCTGCAGTGGGATGGCCCTTTCCTACAGTCACTGCAATGACCAATGGCAATGATCCCCTCACAGAGGTTCTCCCCGGGAGAAGCCTGTTACTTCTCCTGCAGGACAGACTGTTCTTTTGGGATCCAGTGAGCACAGGGGCAATGGCAGTCCCTGAGGGAAGTGGGATTGCCTGTGGAGCTGCTTGACGTAAAGCAGACTTCAGTCACTGCAAAATTTTAAATGTTCCCTGAATTGTCAATTAGTGCAATGAAATTTTAATGAACTCCATTGAAAGTGACCTTTTGCCATCACTACATCTTTAGGTTTTTGCATTGTTTTCCACCTCATTGACTGTCAGACTTTCACTGACACTTTTTTTTTCATGTGGGTTGTAGTGAATGAAATTCTGGATTTTTAAAGCATTAGATGAATTGCAGGAAGGACTGCCTAGAGAAAAAAATAAGAATTTCAAACCAAAGAAGGATGAGAGAGTGCAGAAGAAACTGCAGGAAGCTTCTCACCCCCAAACCGTTTTCCAAAATGTTATGGCAGACAGAGACATAACAGCAGAAATGCAGAACACTGTGTGTAGGTTCCCACACAGCTGGACACCCAGGGTTCTGCTGTTGAGGAACACCTCTGGGTTTGCTGCTGCACTTCCAGAGGCAGATGGAAATGCAGGTTGAGAGGCAGGTTGGACTCTGGGTGGGAGCCCAGAGAGACCAGAGGCTCTGAACTGCCAACCTTTGCGTGACAAAGGACAGAACCCCAGTGATGGCACCAAGGTGGATGGACACTGAGGCACACAGCAAGAGCCCTGAACTGCCAGACACGATGGATAGCAAAGAACACCAAGGCCTGTGATGCCAGCGAGGTGCATGGACACAGAGACTCTCAGTAAGAGCTGAAGACTTGGAAAAGAAAGATTTCTGGGCTGGAAATGTGAAGGGGGAAACGTGGCAAATATGAGAGGACCACATGATGGGATATGTGAGGTAAAAAATGGGAAACAAGAGAGGACAAAAGGACAGGAAATGGGAGGGGGAGAAAGGTAGGAAATGTAAACAGAAACAAGAGGGAGAAAAGGGCAGAAAACCCAAAGGGAAAAATCAGCAAGGAAACCAAGAGAAAGTGGATTAAAATGAGAGGGAAAATGGGTGTGTAGCAGAAGGGGAGAAAAGGTGGAAAATATGAGGGGACAGAAGGATGAGAAGTGTAAGAGGAAAAATGGTGGGAAATGTGAGGGGAGAAAAGGGCAGGAAAGAAGAGGAATAAAGGATGGCAAAAGAAAGGGTGGAAAACACTGGGGAAATAGAAAAAGGGTGGTAAAAAGGACATGAGCCCAAGGAATATTTTGCTCAGATGCACCAGCTCGAGCTGTTTCTGTGTCATTGTACAACAAATTAATGTGGAAAGAGACCTCTGAGATTCGGCCACCAGAAACCTGGGGTGGAATTGAGGAAACCTGGTCTGTGTTTTCCGACAGTCTGAGTGGGGGCTGTGGAGGCTACAGTGGGAACACATCAGGTCACTGGAGCTGCCTGTGAACCCATGATGCAGGAAGAAATGAGCAGTTACAGCAGCAATAGGAATGGCAGAGTGGACAATATAGGCACAATTCACACACCAGTGCCCACCATGTGCAACCTGGCACTTCCATGACCACTCACTCTGCCATTGCCCTGAGCAGAAATAACCCAGCCCTCCCTAGCCCCTGAAAATGGTGTGAGGTGGTCCAGAATAAGCTAAGGGTCCTGACCATGCCCCTCCTTGCACCTGCCAAAGGAACCCTGTCCTAGCTAGAACCAGAACAGGCCCCAGTGATGTGCTGGCAGAGCGTGCTGCAGGGAGGGCGCCCAGCTGCCCTGGGGAAGCAGGGAGCAGCCCCTGCCTTCCTTGCTGCCCACCAGATTCACCTGGGGCCTTTGCCACCAAGCTGGGCAGAGGTTTAAAGACTCAGGTGGCTCAGCTCACCCTGCCATGGTGATGGCAGTGCCAGCAGCAGAGGCAGGTGCCAAGCTGTGTATGATGCCATGGAAGGGCGGGGAGCTACTCCCACTGATCCCCTGTGGTGGTGGCCATTGCAGCCATGACGCCGTCATCCCGCTGTGCCAAGGAGGGGCCACTTGTCCTCGCTCACCGTAGCCAGGTCACAG